CATCACTGTTTTTAGTAAACAGGGTTTTCCCAACTCAACCGCAGTCTCATTCTTTTTTCCGCTTCGTTGAGGTCATTGAGCGCCGGCTCTGCTTCAGTGCCACTCCTCGAAAACATGACGATGTTGTCAACAAAATAAAGATTTTATGGGAATTCACCATGCTGTAAAAACAGCTTTGGCGACAGAGTGTCGCATTGTTAGACATCTTGTAAATAAGGAAGATAGGTGGTCAATGTAAAAGCTGCGCTCGCGGGGTGCAGTTACGACAACGGTCAGGTGTGTTCATATTATATGACTGCTCCACCTTTGTTCCACGAATGCTAATAGGATTGCCTTCATGCTTTCAACCGCATGGTTTTCCGTAGTTACTAAGGGCTAAAACGACGAAAAGGTCCAATCAATGACATTCATAAAGAAGACAACAATTCTCAAGGAACAGCCGAAACCCACATATGAAAACGCAAAGACCTTCGTGTGTGATGGAAGAAAAAGAATCGAAAGGAGAAAGTATGGGATCTGCACAAAATATGAGACATTGGGTCTGATAAAATAAAATGAAAAAAGCAAATTTCCTTTGAAATATAAGCGAAGGAGAAATTATCGATTTAAGAGAAGTCCTGAAAACATGCAAGCATTCAGGAAAAGCATTAACCCCTGGTGCCTACGAGAGACGTGCAGCCATGCCTAATTCCGATAACTAGAAGGTTGAAAGAATTGAGAAGATGAAACTACTATAGATGAGACTTTGTTCTATCGCTCTAGTGCTCTAGTACATGGTATGCATGTTGCTGTGTACGATATGTCTATAGTTAATCATACAACCACACTGCTGTCAGCGTTTGGAAGTGCTTCGCAACAATGCCGTTTCGATTTCCGTTCCTTTCGTACCCGCTCTTAATTGCCGTGAATCATTATAGTGACTGGAACCGAGATAGCACTCAATTACTGATCAAATTACCTGTCATTGCATCCGTTTGAAAAACTTCTTTGTACATTTATAAGTGCAGAAAAGAATTTCTCCTTGCCTTTGCCCGCCACGACTTCCACACGCCATTGAGGAATATTTTAAAAAGTAAAGAAAAACTCTATGTGGCGGGATAAACGGACTACAAGTATATGAGCAACATATGATTCACCTAATCATCAGTTTGTTAATCGGTCACTTTGTTTTGCGCTTTTTGCTCGTGAAAAATAAGTGGTACGATGTCATGTCGTGAAAACATTGCGGCTAAAAGTGCGACATGACCGTAACACTTCCGCATATAGGATCAGTTTCCAAGCCGCATCTCTGTTCATAATGGTAACGCCCATCTTGCGCGCTTTCTTAGCCGGTCATTGACCCAGAATCAGGAATCAGGACCACTATGTATCAAAACATGTCATACTTGTTCTAGTACTTCCGTCAGCCAACTGCTCTCTGTTGACAACGTTATCGCTTCAGTGGTCACTCTTTACTTTACAATTGCTCATATAGATAGATCCGTAAATAATACTTTTGTGAAAGACCCTATTCCGCCTTTGTGCTGCTACACATGTTGTGGATGACTGTGCAACTGTGTTAATATCTATCATCAGTTGTTAGTTTCATTATCACCACACCAATTGCTTGGCATAAAACACTGTTATTTTATAACTTAGCTCATTAGTAAATGGGACAGCAAGTGGGACGCAAAAGACGTAGTTGGTGCCTCCTGAGTCTCTCCGTGATCAACTGGGCAGTGTTTCTGGTGGTACCTTAATTATTACCATTAAACGACTCACTTTTCAAATATACTGCACAGATCCCACCACTTCTTGCGTTCGAATCATACCCTCGCGTTCATCATCCAGAAGCCCTTCCAACATTTTGCATGTGACTTCGGCTGCTGCTTGAGGATTTTCCTTTCGTTACAGATGTCATTGAATTTTGGCCGAGTCAATTCTCTCTGGAGTTTTGAGTTTGCTGGGCTAGAGTGTTCCCACTTAGATTGTAGAAACTGGGTTTTTCCAGACAAGTGTGGTACCAACTTCCCAACTCTGGAGAGATGAGAGGCTTAGTGAGCCCGAGTGAGGTCGAACCAGCACCGTTCTTGTGATTATCGGCATCACCACAATCCTACCCTCCCCATGGTGGTGTATTGTGTACGAAATAAATATAACTTTGAATGATATTTATATATAAATATACTTGGATACTTAGATGACCCACCTTCACTGGCGGTGCGGGCCTCAGCATAACTTCCATTATCTGGAGATTTGCCGGTGTAGGCATTATGGTTCCCTGGAGTCCTGAGAACAACCTGGCCAAAACCTGCCTCAGGTGTCACCACCACAGGCAGTAGCAGCCTTTGCGGATCAGAAGGAGATCTGCCATCATGTTACCAGTTTGACACCAGGGCGGTGGTGGATCCTGGTATTGGTTTACTCTTAGCTGGGCTTCCTGATGGAGACGCCGGACTCCTCAGTTCAGCTTTGGGAGACCGTGCCGTGGAGATGAATACCCTAGCTGTACATCATAGCCCGACACCCAGGAACACCTCACATCTACGATGAGGTGGTAAACCGTTGGGGGGATATATATGTATATATATACATATATATACATAATGTATATACATATGTATATACATGTATATACATATATATATACACATATGTATGTTCTTATGTGTATATATCGACTTATTTCCCTGTACGAGTTATGGGGTGACTGCGATTTCATGGCTTTTCGAATCAGGGAAATAATCGGCGATAAATGACGAATCGTGAACACGTAATGTGAGAACGATAATGTATGTCGATGGTGACAGACGTTTTCACTATATGATCGATAAAAACATACGTGATAAGAGGAACTGACGACAAGATAGTAAAGGCAGTGACCACGATTTCCCGACCTCTTCATTCTACGAAAAAGAAAAAACCTTTCCTAGTTAGCAAGTTAAGAAAAGGATGATGATAAATATTGTGAGCGCATTAATTAATAGCCATAGTAATGAAACGTGTTGGTGGCCTTCTTATATTATAAAAAGTGGTAGATGGAATGAACAAGCTGGACAATATAGTAAATGTGGTGGGAATTGTTACTAATCAGAGCACTGTAAGAGTGGGTTCATTGTCTCTCACAGAAATGATTTGACTTCTATTTACTGCCTAATCTTTTTTATGAAAAGGCATTACGTGAAGCCCAACTACAAGGATGCTGGGGTATGATCAAAACTCGGAAACTCAAGTACGCTTGGAACCCGCGATTATCCTTTACGGGAGCTCCTGTGCTATCCACTATGCCATGCGCGGTCCTTGCTTTTCTTTTTGTCGCAACCAGTCTTTTTTAAGATTGGGTCTGTGCCAAAAAGTAACCTTCAACACTATGGTTCAGTTTAAAACACGTTTTATGTAGTTGCTAATAACGCTTATGCGACGACCGAACCTCTGTTTTGGTTATGCAATAAGCAAATAATGATCGTCCTCAACTTTAAATCAAGATATCGCGACTGATAATGAATTTTATTCACCGCAATGGAAAGTAGTGCATATACAAACCTTGCCTAACTATTCTCTTGCCTTACAGCGATGAAATTCAGATTTTCTGTAACCCATAGCGTATGTTCCAACAAAGCCAAATGGACATTCGGGACCTGCTTCTTATTTGCTGCCTATTCTATTTTTCACGATAGGATATGATGCAAAATGCATTATATAAGGTATCCCAGCATCATAGCCGTTACATTCTAGATTTAGTTCAAAATTCGAGAATCATTTGAGACAAGATGGCATTCCCTAAAGAATTTATTTATGTTTCCAGCGGGTTTGCTAAGGCGCTTAAATTTCACACAATCAGATGGATCAACTTTCGAATCAAATGGATTCGGGAAGATGGATCACTGAGGAAGACCTGGCTCGACACGAAGGCAAAGCTGCAACGTCGAGACGAACAACAATCATGGACCATCGACTCGGATCATCGGCTCTGAGGAAGACGAAGACGTCGAAACGTTAGCCGAAAATAAATATATTTATCAACCTCGTGCAAGCTTATCAAGAAAGAATGCATATTGATAATTCAATGTTTTTCTTCAATAAGCAGATACGAGGTTGTTAATATAGAATTTATTAGAATACAATACCTGACGTTTCGGCGGTTTCGCCTTCTTCAGAGCCTGGAAAGGCCAAATTGAGATGTGATCTACTCAGCCAAACACTTTCACAACCCCAGCAGATAAAACTTGACAATTCGATTTGCATTCGCATAAGAAACAGCTTCATTCAAACACCTACAGTTTATTTGTTGTAAGTATTTAAGTTAATTGATGGTTAGCCACCGCACAGAGTAATACATGGGCGATAACTGTGCCTGTGTCAGGTCATTGGATTAGCCTGAGGTATGGCGCCAGGTCACACGTGATGACAAGACACTCCTTGCGGTTCATTTTTGAATTTTTGGCATTGATCCAAAACGTTTCAAGAGTTTTACGCGCTGATGTTTTCGATTCCTGCGTAAGGATAGTGACTCCTACCTCAAAATCTTCTTCTGTTGTCCTCACAGCGCACATCTTGAGTGGTTTAACCTTTATACCAGACAAATGCAAATTACGATAAGTGAGTGATTATGTCATGTATACGAACTGTTGACATTGACAGACATTACTTAGTGGAGACCTTGTAGACATTGAATTGCTATGAACAAGGCGCAACTGTGATTGGTGCAAATCGAGAAGATTCTCTATGTATATCGTTCTAAATTTTATATTTCCTGTTAAGAAATAAAACCAGTTGCTAACAAATTACGATAAAACTTAGGATTTCTATGACACCTTCTAAGGACTCGGACTCAGTAAAGTGAATCTGATTGGCAACTCATTAACCTAGAGTATCGCACGTAGTACCTATTGATCCATTTTCGTGTTATGACCGCATAAGTTTGTATTTCGATCGATAGTCGAGCGGTTTCATTTCTAAATTTTCTAGCAACAAAGTAACGGTCTCTTGAAGCAAATTGTGCCGGTGTTGGAAATAAATGGATGGCCATCGTACAGTTTCTGCTGGCAGTGCTAAGTATTGAGAGTAAGTTCCTCTGCGCTTAACTGGATCTCAGTCGAGCAGTCAGCATCTGCCCTCTACTCAAAATTGTTTCAGCGTTGTTCATAACCGTCTTGTCCATCCCTCAGCAAAAATCAACAGAACGGCAGTTCCTCGAACTGAACACAGAGAAACTTCGTGACTTTTGGCACATTATCACAATTCGTGGACTCATAAAGGTTTGGTTTTTCGGAACACTCATTAAGCTAAGGTCCGCTTTAAAAAAACGGGAGGAGCTAACGCTGCTCAAAATATCGACTAAAACTCGCCTTATTTTCAGTCTTTTTCCTCGGTATAACCTATCCGCTTCTATGAATCTAGCTTTCAAAAAGAAGACTAAATTAGTACTGAGGATAATAGCCACTATGCATTCACCCTGTATTACTGGGCAATATAATTGTTTAACTTGGGAGGATACAATGTTCAATTATTGCGCCACGCATTCGACTCCATTAAGCATTGTTAGAGGTGATTGAATGCATGTCTGGCCTTTACAACGACTACACTGGCCTACCGATGTATTGAGTCACTGCTGCTATCCTCCCAGACAAGTCTGGTACCAATTTGCCCACCCCGGAGTGATGGAAGGTTTGCTGAGCCATGAGCGTTGCGATCGATTCCACGTACGTGTACTAAGCACTGCGCTACGTGTGCCGCCGCATCTTCCATATCCATTCTTGATAAGCTTGCACGAGGTTGATAAATATATTTATTTTCATATCCATTCCATATCCATTCCGGTGGTAACAACTTGTTCTTCTTCCGAGCATACATCATTGCGCACATCGTGCAGAAGTCGGTGTTCTTATCAGCTAGCACAAAGCGTAGTAATAATATTTGCCGGACACTATCATGATATATCCACCATCAGCATCGTGTATAAAAGGGCATCACTGAGTGAGGATGCCTCATTCGAGAAGGTGGCTCACTGAGGAAGACCTGACTCGACACGAAGGCGAAGCTGCAACGTCGAGACGAGCAACAATCATGGACCATCGACTCGGATCATCGGCTCTGAGGAAGACGAAGACGTTGAAACGTTAGCCGAAAATAAATATATTTATCAACCTCGTGCAAGCTTATCAAGAAAGAATACATATTGATTAGTCACACCGAGGTTTAGAGAAAGTCGGTTTCGAAATATTACTGTCAGCAGTTATTGCAAAACTAAAACGGTCATAAATACGTCAATTACGAATACCGATGTAACTAACTCCAGCCGTACAGAATTACAAAAGATAAAAGCGTGGAAAACTTGGTAAGGTGAGAGTAAAAAGAATAATCGTTTCGTTTAGCGAAATGTTGAAGCCAAAGAATCACGACGTATTCTTAATGTTGTGTATTACACAATGAGAATAGGACTAATGAAGTTGAACGTTTGACGTGTGAGTAAATCAACTATTTCTTTGAGAGTTGCCGATTTTCAGGCACACGCGAAGCAGGCACTTGGTGATTTACCGCCGGTCGAACGTGTTGTATACGATTTGTGCGTTCGCAACGCTGATACAATTGTTGCGCTCGCCAAGTGCGCGACACGAGTGTTCGACGCGCGCGATAACGCGCGACAGCAAGCCAGATTTACATCGAACTATAAACTGTCGGCGATGAACACCGAACTCCACAAAGCTAACTCGTTATTGGCGAAGAACACGACACGACTATTCGACGTAGCCGACAACTCGAAACCGCAACACAGACCTAGATCGAAGTATAAACAGGCAACGGTAAACACCGAACATCAAAAAGCTAACTCGTCATTGGCGAAGAACACGAAACGACTATTCGACGTAGCCGACAAGTCGAAGCCGCAAGACAGACCTAGATCGAAGTATAAACAGCCGTCGATGAGCACCGAACTCCACAAAGCTAACTCATCATTGGCGAAGAACACGAAACGACTATTCGACGTAGCCGACAAGTCGAAGCCGCAAGACAGACCTAGATCGAAGTATAAACAGCCGTCGATGAACACCGAACTCCACAAAGCTAACTCATCATTGGCAAAGAACACGAAACGACTATTCGACGTAGCCGACAAGTCGAAGCCGAAAGACAGACCTAGATCGAAGTATAAACAGCCGTCGATGAACACCGAACTCCACAAAACTAACTCGTCATTGGCTAAGAACAAGGCTAGTTCGATAATGGATCACGGGGGCATCAGAATACAGGCAAGATTAGGAAACCTGACCAGAAGGAATAGTACTGCAGAAAGAAAATCGGATAAAGTTGTCTTCAAGAATGTTAGGACTGGAAAGGAAGTCACTAGAAGGATTCCTATAAAGCCGGCAAGTGGTGAGATACATTTATTGATTTCTCGCTGGTGCTATTTTTCTATACTATCATTTCTTTCTTAATCTTATCCAATGTCCAACTTAATTAGTTACGAGATTATTTAGATATTTCTGAGTAAATCCCATATATCTTGTAAGATTGTTGCAATAATGCGGTTTTAAAACTCTGTAAAGGGAGACAGGGAGGAAAACGGTTTCTTTATGTCCTTGCAGAGACACTGAAAAATTTCAAGTCATTCGTTTATTAATGGCACCATACTAATTCCTTTTAGAAATACCACGATCGCGTCCTGCGTTGGATTTGTCAAAGATTATTGCAAGGTACTTGAGGAAAATTCTTCGTAAGTGAATATAAAACGTTAGTTCAGTCTGTCGTGGTGCCAATTGATATACATTTTAGTGGGTTCGAAGCCCGTGTCACACGTTGAGAACCTTAAATTCATCCACGAACACTTTCGTCGAGTTGAAAAGTGTAACGAATTCTTTAGAGAGATGAATGACCATAATAGAAGGTGAGAGTCTATTAGTTAACTTATCTTGTCCCTCTTCCCTAACTCTACTACAGGCTGACTTCTCTTTTCGTTTTCAGCGGAAAATGATATGGGGCCGGTTTTTGGTTAGATGTGCTCCTAATTGTCTGCACAAATAATTTTCATTATTTAAACATCTTACAAATGCTGTCAGCATCTTGGAGAGCTCAAGGTTTCGTTCAGTCTATTAGAAAACTGCTGATATATTTGCAAAACTGAGACCCTCAAATGGCCTACCAATCTGTCAATGCTCTTTCCGGCAGTTCAAGGGCCTGAAAGACGTGGTTATATCCACTGCACTACCCGATGCCCTTGCTTTGTCTTTCTCCTAGGCAGTTTTTTTGACTTTAGTAGTATCAGCTGTCACCCGTCAACGGTAATGATCAGGCGACCACAAATCGGGACTGAATCCTGTTAATTTGAGGTTGTAGTCGAAATCACCATATTTTAACCTTTTGCTGCCAATCTTCGCGGGTTTTGCCCTGGGATCCAAGTTTAGCAAATATCTCAGTACCATAGTGGTTATATTTCGCATCACATCGTGATGTGAAAAATTAAGAGGCAGTATATAAAAAGTTAAAAAATTAGAAGACCCTTCACCTTTGTCAGTGGAGCCTAGTTATTCTTCAAGTAACTCAATCGGGATCCAGTGAAGTTTCCATTTGTCCTATCCTCATGCAAAAGAAGTCCACTATTTTCTGCTTGCTCTAAGGACTCGCTCAGCATCATATTCTTCAGCTAGGGTCGTCTAGAAAAATGATCAGTTGAAAACCCGCTACCTATTCTTTTACCACAAATAATTCCTAGTTGTAGAAGATGTCTTCGTTTTAATTCGCTTTTTCCGGTTATTTGATGAAGCCAAACTCGGAATTGATAGTCACGCACCAAAACTCAAGAACACGGCTGCTGCTGCAATGGAAGAAGTGCTGGACATTGTCAACGCTTACGCCGTGAGTGTTTCATGAATCGCAGGCAAAATCTTATCCCTGTACTGATTCATGGAACGTGTTCCTCATTTCGACCACATTGACATAGATGGGCATTTTCTCCTGTTGCTCGAAAGATACAACGTTATGAAGTACATGTAACATAAGTGCAGTTCAGATTAAGATTTTTTGATGCCTTAATAAGAGAATATTGGAAATTTTTATTATTATAAACAACAATCACGATAATATGTTACATGCAAAGACGATGAAATCAGATGCTAACGAGATGGAGTGTGTGAGTCACTAGAAAGTAACGCCAGGCGTCATTCTTGCGCGAAACCAATGTCATGTCGCAAAAGGTACTTTCATTATGTAAACTTTTGAAGTGACATCCATGGCTTTACCTACGATACAACTCAAAGTTGTTCGCAGCTGTACCGATTTGAATGTAAAGCCCGCACGAATCTCCTACGTAGTCACTCAAACACAGCGGGAAAAAACATTATCGCTGACAACGAGCGAAATTGATGAAGCGTGCTGGTCAACTCGTAGGGAATCGCTTCCCACATTTGAGAAATCTTCACTTAGCTTGTACTATGTTAAAGAGGGATGCGGCTTTCAGATAAGCTATGCGTTTTTTCCTCACTGATATTTCCGTCTAGGATCATCCCCTTTCGAAAATATCAATTAATATTATAGCGTGGGACCACGTTTTGCGGGTATCTCAGCGTCATTTTGGTTGTATTTCACATAACACTCTGCAATGGAAAGGTGATAGGCAGTGAGTAGAATGCTACACATTGTAAAATTACCTATTTTCAAAAAAGAGAATAAACCGCAAAATTCTGTGCAGAATTAAGTGCGGCGTAATATTGCCACATATCCTTCGCAATGAAAGGTGTCTCACTTTCGCTATTAACAAATTTTTCCACGAAGCTTTTCTTACAAAATTATTCAGTTTTCAATTTTTTCGTAACCTTCTGGGTTGAACGAGTTTCTTACAAACATCTAACGCTGGGATCGCAGCAAATGGAAAAGAAATTGGGATACTTCAACTTTTCAGAGGAACAATGCGCTTTTCTAAAAGGTGTATCGTAGTGTTAGATTTGAGTTCTTTGGGATTTCCATACAACTGCTCTGATTACCTAATATTATATACCAATGAGGATGACCAGTTTTTACGATCTCACTAGAATTTGCAAAGGCTCAAACATCGGACGAAAAGATTTCCGTAATGTCGCCTCGGCTATTCTCAATATTTCCTGATGTGTCGGCACCATTTGGCGAGCGTCTCTTTTCACCGACGGTCTTCAGCTTCCAGAACGAGGGTTACATATCGCTGCCCGAACTGCTTGACGTACGTATTACCGTGTAGTTTTAGCGATTCTAGGCTTTTGGGATACTTCTCTAGATGTTTTTAACGTTACGCAAAGCATTAGTGCACAAAACAAATTCTTTTCAGATTATAACCTCCACTCGAAGGTACCAACACCTTTTCCTAGATGTGATAATGGATGTAAGTGGTGCAGGAGCAATACTGGAAGTGCGTAGGGCTACAACAAAAATATATACATTTTGTAAAGAGTTAGGTGGAATATTTATTGCGAAATCGTGGAAAAGAGAATAATAGCCATACGTGGCGCCTGCGTCGCAGTGGTCGGAGGCGCCCTGCAACACACGTGGAATCGATCACAACGCTCATAGCTCACCAAACCTTCCATCACTCCGGGGTCAGCAACTTGTTACCAGATTTGTCTGGGAGGATAGCAACACTGGCTTGATACATCAATAGGCCACTGCGAGTCATTGTAAAGGCCGGATGTGGATTCAATCACCTCCAAACAATGTTTAATGAAGTCGAATGCATGGCGAATCCCTCAGCGATCGACCAAACGCCGAGAGCTTTTTTAAATACTTATATTGATAAATCTCCACATGGATCACCCATCACTTTTGAAACTAGAGAAAGTGATCGTTTTCTTTAAATTTGACTTCAATTTAATTTGAGTTTTTGAAAGAATGGCAAGTCTGATTCATGTGATTGAGACCTGTACTTGTCAGCTAATTATATTATTCAGAGTCTTATAACCAAAATAAAACCGGATGTGGAAGAAGTGAGATACGTGAAATTACCTATCGTCGAAGAACTATCGTTGATGAATAAGAAGTGGATGCGGTAGTTCCTTTTACGTTCAGATATATTTAAAATGCTTTCCACACAATGTTTCTGCTTTCTCTATTCACGTATTTTCAATCAATGCCTTCATTCTAGAGCCAGAAAATCCTCCTTAAAGAGCTTCTCCGTTGGCTGTCTCTTTCATCATTGAAGCATGCACCAGTAAAGTCATCTTTTTTTTGTGGCGTTCAAGACGTTTTCGATGGGCTCTGCTCCAAGAGGGATCCCAAGATCATCACATTTTTTGTTAGGAGTCGATCGAAAAAGTCCGCTCTTGCGGTCATTCTTGCGTGGCTTTGATATCCCGCTAAATGAACTCGCTAGCAATCACTGTGCAGGGTATATTGCATTCGCTAGTTCCAACAGTATCTCGGCATTCCAACCTTTATTTATGTTAAACTATTGCGCTAAATGGGAATTCCAACGATTTCTTCTGTCTGAACAGTTCTTGATGCTGTGTCAACTGTGACGAAAAAACGTTGTTTCATGGTGCCATTACTTTATCTGCTTGTCTACTTATTCGCATACTTTCCTTCACGAATCACGAAGAATTATTCAGATTTAAGAACGATTTCTAAGATCTTCTTTCCGAAAATCTCGAAAGCAACACTGGAAGATTACCCTCAATGGCTTTATCTTAGCTGCACTTACAGATACAAATGTTAAACTTCTACTTAGCGTGGGAGACCTGCCCGGGTAATGAACCTTGCCCTGCAATTCGCATTTCGACCCCAAATAAGACAAGAATTCAACGATTTGACGATAAATCACTGTGGGGATTGTTTGGTGGTATGAGAAAGAAATCAGCATTATAGTGAAGATCGTGTAGATTTCGCTATTTCGAGCCCTCCTCTTCTTCTTGATGATGACGTACCTGTGCCATGACGAAATTCTAGCCGTGAATTTACTTCAAGCTTCTGAGGACTTTTTATATACTGGAATATGGACATCAAGACTGACGCTTATCCTTCGAGACCACTTCTTGTCGAGGGCGCTTTTAAGTCAGTGATAGTGAGGCAAAAACGATTATCGTACTGTTGCCACACTTTAGTGAGTTTCGATATTATGTAGATGTGTTTGATTGTAGTGAATCCTTTTCGATACTCTGCTTACCTATATGGCTGTCCTCTGTGCAGTGTTCTGCCTATCAAGTTGAGGAGGTCGTCAAAGAGGATCTTGTATACGAAAGAAATTTGTCACATTGGATCATGGACAGCTGGCGATGTGTCGATGTCATGTGGCTTTCTTGTTTTGTCTAACAAGGCAACGCTACTGGTTTCGCATTAATATGGGATATTTGCTGATGACTCATAACACGTGAAAAGCCCAGAGATTATGTCGATGAGGATGTGCAGTACGTTTTGCACATGTTTTCCTGTCCTGTCCGGTAGTTGGAGGCGCCCCCAACACGCACGTGGAATCGATTACGCACCCATGGCTCACCAAGCCTTCCATCCCTCCGGGTTCGGCAAATTGGTATCAAACTTGTCTGGGAGGATAGAAATACTGGCTCGATACATCGGTAGACCACCGCGAGTCATTTTAAAGACCAGATATGTATTCAATCACCTTCAACGATACTTAATGAAGTCGAGTGCGTGGCGCATCCCTCAGGGATTGATCAACGCCGAGAGCTTTATTCTTTTATCCTGTCCGGTCCGGCTGCCGTACGCCTCTTCACCGACGAGATAGCATCAATTACTTCTGAGGAGAGTACTGTCGGATCTACGTAGCGTTCATTCCCAAAATGATATGAAGGCATAGGAGTCTGATTGTAGAAGAGATGAGAACAGAGTACATAACCTTCTGCATTAATCTTCTGGGTTCATCTCAGCCAATTAACTAACAAACTCTAGGTTCCCGATGCGCTTCCCACTGCATAATGCTCCACATAATGTTGCCCATTCTATCCCCTTTAGAAATTCTTTCATTAATTCTGTTCAAAAACTTTGGTCTCAGGTGTAAATTGATAGCTTTCTGCGGCTACCAGTAGCGCTGTCTGCTAGCTACGCTTTGCAGTACTTTTTGTAGCGAGAGGGAGAAGATCGCTTCCATCTATTTACACCTTGTGCCAATGATACGATCACACATAAATTTTTACGATCCATATTTTATCATGTTCCCATGACGTGAGAATTCGCTGCGTAGGCTCTCGAGTTACCTTCTCGAAGGAAATACTTGTGGAGCTCGCAAGTATACCGACCAGTTAATCTAAGTTCAGTCTCCTAAGGATTTATGAATTTGTACTTTGATAAGGATCCTATCGGTATCCTTAGGAACATTGAGAAAATTGTTTTTTTTCTCATTCCCGTAACTTAGTTATAAAGAGATTTAGAGCTCAGGCCAGTTTTAACGAAGAACAAAAAGCCGACTATAAAGAGAAAGGGTACGCGTTTTTAAACAACGAACAGATGGATCTTATCTACAATCGTCAAGGTAAGTGATCAGCTCAACAGTTTCTTAGCACTTCACAATTCATTTCGACCTTTCAGATAATGTTATTTGAAGGGTGTTTCCAGTTAAAAGGTGCAAGTATTACGTTTTTGATATGTCAATAGTATTTCCTGTTGTACTCTACAAAAATGCTCTTAGAACAACTTGTCTATGGAATGAACGTCACCGAGCTAGGTTCATTGACGAAGGAGCAGAAGGTGGAACGAATTGAGCGTGATATTCGAGCACTGGCCGCTCTTGACCAACCTCGTTGGCCGGCCTGGGGATTTAGAAATGAAGGAGGATCAGGTTGCATACGATGTTTAATTAATTGCAAAATATAATTGAAAACAATGATGGTTCAAGGCTCATTGCAACTAATCTGTTGGGCAAAGCTATGTGCACTATAAAACACAATTGTCATATATATATATATATATATATATATATATATGTAAACCTGAAATAGGGCAGTATACACACATACATAGTCATCCTTATCACCAGTTGTCCCGTTGGTTATCTCGTTGACCGTCGAGAAACTCGGCCGAGCGTTGGTAAAATGTCCGATTTCTCCTTGTTTCGTGCAAGAGTAACCCAGTGGATTCTGCTCGCTTTAGGGTCTCGTTGAGCATTATATATTTCTTTTAGGATTTTCGTGGAGAACTCTGACCATAGGGTAGGTGGTCTTCTTGCAGTGCGTTTAACATCCCGAGAAATCCAGTCACTAACGGCTGTGACCCATCAGTTGTCGTTCATATGCATTAAATATCTAACCACCTTATTTTCGGCAGCTTGGCGCATAGAGCGGCGTCTTTGGTTGTTGATCGTTAACGTGGGTCGGAGCTTCGGATCGCTTCCCTCACTTTCATTATGCGAGATACTCGTGGCATCGTTCTTCCGACTGCGCATTCTGTAACGTCGAGTGATCTTTTATCCTGCTTACATAGCGACCAGGTTTCCCACGCATGCGTTAAAGCAGGCAAAATCGTGGAGTTGAAAAGATCGGCACGGATTTGCGTGTTCTTTGTTCTCTTCACCATATCTTCGATGCCTTTAGGAGCTCTTAAGACGTTCGCTTCCTCCTGCTCAACACTGGAGCTAAGCCGTCCAAGATGTGAGTTTCCCGATCTGGATGGACGTGGCTCGAGCATTCAAAGATATTTGTTCCGTTGAGCATAGTTGACGCACAAGAAAAAGATCCTTTCTTCATGAACGTCGTCTTTTGTGGTTTAGTTTAGGGCCAATCTTGCAACGAGCTCAGCGGAAGGTCAACGTTCATTTCAGCCCAATTATGTTTGCCGTTGTAAAAAGATATCATCGGCAAAAAGAAGGTGGTGTCGTTCCCCACCATCGACTTTTATTCCTTCGTCCCATTCCAATTTACTTATGATATTTTTGAGGGCAACTGTAGATATTTTTGGCGGAATCGTATTGCCTTTCGAACCCCTCTTAACGTTAATGTTAATGGCATTATGGAATAGTGATATTCTGATTAAGAAATTCCTATATAGCTCACAAAGGATCCTTATGCGCTAAGCTGTGATTTTATTAGACCTATTAGAGAGCTTCTATCACCGCTTCTATATCAACCGAAGAAAAAGCCTTTAAGTGGATCAAAGTGAGAGAGAGCGGTCCGTTGTACTCTCGCGATACTTTAGTGAATTTTGTTATCGTGTGGACGCTGTCCATTATTTTGAATTCCTTTCGAAATACTGCTTGCTCACATGGCTCTTCTTCGTTCAGTGTTCTGTCAATCCTGTTGAGAATTACTGTAGTGAAGAGTTTAGAAAGGACAGGCAACAGGCAGGTTGGGCGATAGTTCCGATGTCGTGGAGGTCTCCTGTTTCATAGAATAAAACGCTTTTGTTAGTTTTCCATTGAATAAGAACCTTGTATTCTGACGGGTAACATGTGAATAGCCGAGCCGTTCTGTTGATGAGGGCTGACAGCTTTAGACATCGATCTCTCTCATTTCTTGAGCAAGCGATGCAAGATTTTTCGCCGATCGTGTAACATGTGGGAATTCAGAAGCGTGAACTGGTGGAGTGAAACATCCATTTTGCTTAATTTCGTATCGGCCAGGAAGACGTAGCTATTGAAAAGATTAGGGTAGTAGTCGTAAATGATTTTTCCACTATCTCTGTTGAGGCAGTTACTGCTCGACCTGAGTGCTCCACTACAGTCATGTTGGCTATGTAATTAGTGAAGTTTTACTAGGCACCGCTAATGATATTCACAGCCTCTGTAGCTTCAACAATTACTGCTATTCTTCGCTGTATAAGATCTTTTCTGTTCTTTTAACGCGTTTCTGGATTGTTCCTTAAGCTGAGACGTCAATTTGCGGTTGTCTGCGGCTCATACGATTCCGGGTTGACGTAACGCCATGAGTGGAACTCCCAGTTTTCATAGCGTTGAGATTTCGAATAAGCTGGTCGTGTACTTTATCGATCTTCTAAGTAACGGCATCTTCCTAAGACCACGCTGGTGATCTAAGTAAACCCCAGTTCACGATGGCTTTGGATTTAGTCTCTTGAGCTTTGCAGCTTTTTCTCGTTTCCGCGAGAAATGAAGTCTTGCAAGAAGTAGTCGATGTTCTGATCCCGTGTACAATTTTGGTACAACAGCGACATCGGTTAAACAGAACTTTTGGTTCATTATGATGTGGTTGAGAACGCGAAGTGCATCATTGTTATTATGGCTTCTTATGTATAATATAATCATCTTAGTTGTCCATCATATGTTCCCAACGTTTGCGTACGCGCTAGTTTCCTATCATGTGTTTCAAACGCTTGCGTAACCGCTCAATGCTTTTCGCCCAGGAGTCTTTTATTTGTAAGACAAAGTTATTATCGACTTCATTTCTATGTTTTGCTTCAACGTCGATGACATTTTGTCTAAAAGATGATTCTTAAGTGGCCGAATGATGACGTGGCAATCGAGGGCGGAGTGGTTTCGTGATTAGTGCTAGCAACGCGTGAGCGCTCTTATGCAAAGAACTTTGCGTGATCAGAATGCATTTTTCGAATGTCATCGGGAGAAGTCAAAAAAAGACTAATGGCGTATACAACGACAACCATGATATTACTGCTTGGCAGATGCGCTAAGTGCAACATTGTTCCTAAATCCGACTCTCCAGTAACAATCTCCTTTATAAAACTGTGCAACTGCTTGGGAATAAATACTTCGTTCAAAGCGTTGAAACCAGTTTTTTTCTCACTGGCGCTAATTGCGATAGGGTCGTGATTCCAGCTATCAGGATTTGGTAGCATCCTCTAAATAAGGGAACTGTGAAGAGCGATGTTGTATAACAACTCAAATGAGAGTAGATGCAAGCGTAAGACTGAAGTAAAAGTGGTTCCTGCAATTTCCTCACTAAATTTGTCTGCACCACTTTTTATTCTTCTGTTGAATAATACTCCAATGCTCTTAGCAATTTAGCTCGACATCGATGGCGACGACAAGCGGATAGCGAAGCAGTCGCAGCATCAGAGGAACCAGGGACTGAGGAGGAATCTGGAATCGTGTTCAGAACGCTTTCACCAACAGTGTTCACCAGCTTGATAGGAACGGGTGCCGCTTTAGAAGTGGTGACGCTGTCCCCACAAGTCTTTCTTGCTGAAATTCTCTTTCCGAGGGCACTAGTGGTAAGTATATTAGGAAATCTTTTTGTTGTCTAATGTGGAAAGGTCGTATGTACACAAAAAACCATCATTCCTCTCAAAATCTCAAATTTCATTCCAGAAAAGCTAAAACTCTAGAGAAAATATGCATTAGTGATAATAAGTGATATAAAGATATAATCAGTTTTCGTTTCTCTAACGCTTTGTTCAGAACAGCTGTGGTAATGAAATAGTCCCCAATTCCAGCTACTACGAAGGAGTTGAACGACGGCATAAAAAATAAAAGAAAGGATATTGTTTCTCTTAAATCAGTGGTCGTGAACTGACCCTGTTTGAGACTAGCATGATATCATATTTACGACTGGGATTTCCACCATTGGAAGAAACGATTTCTAAATTTTTCGGCAGAAATACTTTCGCCACGTGTGTTCCTGGCGGCGATTCTGTCACCGAACGCGCTGATTGCACGCATCATGTCGCCGACCTCGTTCCGAGTTGAAGTGCTGTCGCCACGTGCTATGCACACTTGGGTTCTCAGTCCAGAAGCGTTAGTGAGTCCCATTTGCACATTGTTCTTTGTGTTCATTAAGGGTTCTCGGCGTATCAAAAGCGCCAGGCGTTCAGCACTCTGTGTCAATAAAAATTTTTGAAAAAAGGCAGCCTCAGCAGAAGCGTGAGGGTGTTATTACTTGAGACTGTGCTTTCTGGGTTTGTGGAATCTGCATGCAATGCAATAATATGGCAGACCATTCTTAAATTCAATTAAAGTCCCGTCACCACGATCTACTACTACCAAGTTCTCAATGGGTAGTTCTAAATCTTATTCAGCTCAATGCTCTGAACGTGGTTTGAGTGCACAGTTTTTTCTTTTTTTCTGCCTTTTGAAAGCAAACCACTTTGACCTCCTCTTTTAGAAAAGTTCGAGTCGAGTTTAGTAAGTACGCAGCGGTATGCCTTGAACTGTAGTTATTTACCTACATCAACTCCTTGTGCCTACAGTAAAGCCTGTGTGAAGATGACCAAATGTGAAACAGCTGTGAATTTTTTGCATTTTTTAAAGTAGCCGTTTGTAACTTATAAAAAAATAAGAGTTGTCTGCAGTGAACGCATACATCCAAGTTGCTTAGGAATTAAGTGCTATACTAACAAGATCTGTTGTGGGGCGTTTCTCACATTTGAACCCATTATTCATTTTGAGAATGTCGAAAAGTAGAAAATGCATGAAAGTAAATCTTGGAAAAACCTCTAAATCGAGATATATTGATTTTGTATCCCCTCTTTGGTAAGTCATACCGTGGTTGAAGGAAGATCGGTTTTGCAATATATTGATTTTATAAAAAAAAGGGGGTGTAATGGTATTCAGGGAGGAGCCGAGGGTAGGAGGAAGAGCCTCTGGACTTTTGCTCCTTAATTAATATCCGTGCCTTGCAGTATTCCGGAATTTGCAGTAATAAGCCTGCGAAAAGTATCTCAGAGTTAACTCACATGCAGTCAGGACGTGAAAGTTGTGGTACGAATGAATTTTGCAAAAGAAGTCAAAACTGAGCTATGAATGCGGCGTGTTTCCGGGTATTATATGAATACTTCATGGGAAATACTTTCTATTTTTTGTCTTCTTTCAGATTGCCGAAATTCTAGCACCAAAATTCTTCGATCCACGTGTACTTTCGCCAAACATTTTTTTACTGAATGTACTTACTCCTAGTCAGTTCTCTTTTTACTTTCTACAGCGTAAACAAATCCAAACGGTGTTTCCTACCAGGCATACTTTCTCCGTACATCCTATCGGCCGAAACTGGGTCATTGCTCATTCTGAGTCCCGATATCTTGTCGCCCAGAGTACAAAGTGAAGAGAGATTGGTCGTGGAAGTGAGTTTTTAACGTAAAAACCAGAAGAACTTCTTGTGAATATTTCGTTTATTATAGAAGGTGTCTGGTAAAACTTCGTGCTCGTTTAGAACCCTACATATGACTTGGCTTTCTAATCTGCATAGAGCAAACCGCTTCGTGTTTTCATTAAGAAGTTAGTAAAAGGTTGATTCTCATTAAATTGATTAAATAGTTTTGTGATATGTGTACACAATACAATAGATTTTAGTGTAGCAAAACCGTGTTCCACTGATTTTCCCATTGCGACTGCCTCCCCACTAGCGTTTTGTAGGCATCTTTCTGTGGATTCACATTATATAAAAAGGATAAAGGAAAAACCTCTAGGAGTTAATCATTCTGTTAGAGATGCCTTATGTATTCGACCTCATTAAACATCGTTTGGAAGTGAATGAATCCATATCCGGCCTTTACAATAACTCGCGGTGGCCTACCGAAGTTTTGAGCCAGTGCTATCCTTCCTGAAAAGTCCGGTACCAATTTGCCGACCCCGGAGTGATGGAAGGCTTGGTATGCCAGTGGCACGGGGCAAAAGTAACAGCAAAAAAGCAGAAGCAGCATTAGCAAAAGTATTATAATGCGCACACATTAATTAATTTATTCTATTCTACTGTGTACTTATATCAAAGAATAAACTAATTAATGTGTACACATTATATTACTTTTGCTAAACGATTTGTGAGACGATTATAAATTCAATGGCGTTTCCTATTCTATGGAGAAATACCAAGAACGTTTTCATATTGGACTATAGAAGGGATAAAGCTCTCGATGTTGATCAGTCCCTGAGAGATACGCCATGCATTCGGCTTTATTAAGCATCGTTGGAGGTGATTGAACGCATCTGTGGTCTATACAAGGACTCGCTGTGGCCTACCGATGTTTCGAGCCAGTGTATTTTAGCAGCCGAATTTTTGTTTAGATCCTATCACCACACATCTTGGGCGGTGGACATTATGAGTCAGGAAATAATCTAGGCATACCTGAATTTGGAATTGGCGAGCACGAGCACGAAGGACATAGTTCCGAAGAGGAAGAACGTGAGCTGTTTATTGAACGTTTTACATTCTTATACTTGTGGTAAAAAGTGTCCGGACGATCGATGTTCTTGCTCATCAAAAGCGTACAATATGGAGTAATCATTTCTTATCGGCAGAAGGATAACTGTGAGGACGTTCTGCCCTTGCTAGCAAAATACAATACTTTAAGCCACAGTTCCTAAAAGATGAAATATTTATTTCAAAAAGAATAATTCCACTTCTGGGCGATCATTAGTGAACCTAAGACTGGGCTGTAATTCCTGATTTTGGTTAATCCTGCAAAAACCTTTTTATTCATTGAGGTGCAACAGGAACTTTTTCAATCGGTGATTTAGATTTAACTATGAAAATGCAGAAGCCCCATTATCTTTGATGGTTTAATAACCGTTGTCGTTATATACGAACATTCGTATTTTCAGCGTGGATCCACCTCATCAACGAGTGATGCATTTTCCACGAGCAAGCATGCAATTGTAATCACACCGTTTCGTGCTAAACACTAATATCAATGAATTTTCTGTTCGAGAAGCTCAGTAAATTGGCTATGAATAGACCGAGAGATCTTGACCAGGGAGTGCAAAATTAAGAAAGGAAATCAACACCATTGGATTACTGTCTCGAAGTGGTGGGTGGGGAGAGAGGGAAGGCTTCCCAATATCAAATTATGGAGCTTTATTTTCAAATAAAACGCCTAATATTAAAGTGAGACCTTAAAAACATAACGCCCAAAATGTATTGATTACAATGTGTTCGGAACGGAATGATGGCTGCTTTCAAGTACTTAAACTTATGTTTAATAACATTGGTTGCGATGAAAATCATAAGAATCTTACTTGAACTTGATGCTTGAACGACCCCTCCTCACTAGTAGTGCGAGCGCCAGCATAATCACCATTTTTCGGAGATTTGCTGGTTAAGCTATTGTGGTTCCTTGGAATCCCGAGGACAGCCTGGCCAAAGTCTGACCTANTTCCCCACCATAGACACCTGCGGTCCAGAGTTTTGCAAATATCTCAGCAACGTTGTGGTTGTATTTCGCTTAGTAACCTGCCATGAAAATTATAGAAGGCAGAAAACAAAAACGTTAAAACGCCTAATATTAAAGTGAGACCTTAAAAACATAACGCCCAAAATGTATTGATTACAATGTGTTTGGAACGGAATGATGGCTGCTTTCAAGTACTTAAACTTATGTTTAATAACATTGGTTGCGATGAAAATCATAAGAATCTTACTTGAACTTGATGCTTGAACGACCCCTCCTCACTAGTAGTGCGAGCGCCAGCATAATCACCATTTTTCGGAGATTTGCTGGTTAAGCTATTGTGGTTCCTTGGAATCCCGAGGACAGCCTGGCCAAAGTCTGACCTAGATCGACACTACGGCAGGCAGCCGCAGCGCTTGTGAATCAGAGGGAGATTTACCACCATGCGACTTTGATACCAGGACGGTGGTGGGTCCTGGTATTGCTTTACTTCTAGCTAGGCTTTCTGATGGAAACACCGGGCTCCTTCTCGCTCCTTCTCAACTCAGAAGACTCTGCCGGGGAGACGAATCCCCCGCTGTACATCGCAGTCCGACACCCAGGAACACCCCTCAGCCACGATGAGGCGGTGAACCGTTGGGAGGTGTTCTCGGGTGTCGGAATCTACAGATCTTTTATTCTACCAAAATGAAGTTCTCGTATTCTGGAGTCAGCGACACATTTTTCTGCAGTTTTTCCGCAGCAAGACTTCTATTTCGAAGGCGAAAACAACCGGGCAACCTAGATTTCGCTTAGCAGAAACGAATGCGTTTCCATAGTATCGATCATGTTTCCAGTGCTAAATTTGGACTTGAATTTCGAAAACTGCGAGACTTGTCCCCAAATTTTTCGAAATATAAATTCTAAGCATATTTGATACTCTAAAATGCTGTTTAACGGTTCCTCATTCGATCAAAAAGTTTTCTAGAAGTCGGTATAGTCCTTATCTCATCAAGCATTATACTGAATGGTAAATTATCTCCAATTCCCAAGTCCGACTTTCTATTAACCTCGGCATTGATTGAATATATCTTTCTGCTTCTGTTCAGCAAGCACCTCGTGCTTGCTGAACAGAAGCAGAAAGATTTATCTCCAATTGCCCAAAAGCCACTTTCGAGCTTTATGTGTAAAATTCCAGACAATACAACTTTGAACTAAATCGATACGTTGTGTGATCTGCACAATGTCATGATATCAGTGCATTTTATGACGAATCTCTCTTTTGCCGAATGGTAATAGCATTTCCCCATAAAAAACAGCCCTGACGATGTCAATAGATTCCTTATCAGTTTTCCTCTTTACCATATGAGTACTCTAAAAGAAACTTCTGCTCATGAAGAAAGTACTAATAATTCTGTTAAATATGTACATCAAGGATCGAAAGACCTCATCTCACTAACCGTATTCGTCGCACATCCTGCTCACCAGCTGCTACTTCTTCTTAATCATCTCAACAACTGCCATTTGAGAAAATCTCCAGTGACTAAACCTCCGCAGAAACTGCCTTAGAAGAGTTAGTTGTTTATAGAAAAAAGGAACTTTATGCTCTTTAAATAAGCGAACCTATATCTTGCTGCTAAAAATGCATAGATTCTAGTAGTTCTTACTTTGTTTAGTAAAGTTATGTTTGACCTAAGAAGCACATGTGGCGTAGTGGTTGGAGGCGCCACTGCGACACACATGTGGAATCGATCCCAGC